TGCTATCTTGGTATGATAACTGAAGTCCGTCTGTGGCACTAAATCAGCTACGATGATTTAAGTCTCAAGTCTGAACTTTATACTATTCTATGTCGTATTTGTTATGGTGTGTTGTATGATAATAAATTGAGGAGATATCCTTGCAAGAATCACTTGAAAGATCAAGTTTCTTAAGTGATATCTTTACCTGACGTGAGAATCAATATGAAAATCATAGACAATACCTCGTATATTCCAAATTGAAGGCTTCTACTTGAGCTCTAGGCAACATCTTAGCAAGTAATATTGGAATCAAAAGGATAATGATTAGTCAAGAACATAATATGGAGCACAATATTACAGAAAGTACTTTCACATGATCTATCTTAATTAGCTGATAAATATTAGCGGAGTCAGATAGGGACAAGGGAGGACAATTGCCCCCCAACTTTTTTTTTAACATAAAGAATAAGAGGTGGTCTAGTCAGGGGTTACTCGATATTTTTTTTTTTTTGAAAGAATGGACGGGGTTACTCATTCGGTCAGGGGTTACTCCGTCACTCATGGGCTACTTTGTTTGAGGTTACTCGGTTAGTCAGTGGATACTTAGTAAGAGGTTACTTGGTCGGTCAGGGATTATATTACCTGCAGGGGTTACTCGTGTGTTAGCTGGTCACATGGGGTGGTAAGCCACATACAAAAGTTGTTGTAAGTTTTCTTCATGGTCATGAGTCATGACTCATGGGTTCAATTCTTATGTCTAGCATTTATTGACTAATAGAAAAAGTGATGCATCTAAATTGACACTTTCATACATAAAAAGTGACGCATCTAATATCCCTTTGGAGGAAGTATAACTTTAAACCTATATACATTATTTGATAATTTGCATTGTATATGATTTGGTAGCTGATTCACATTTCAATTTAATTATTGATTGCTTAAAAAGAAAAAAGGCTCGAAAAATTAAAGAATTTGTAATTTATGTTTTTTTTTTAATTTCTTGGATTGTATGATGGCATTTTATGAGGTTTAGGGTTGTAATACATAATTATGAATATTAAACATACAATTTATGTTTTTAAGTATTTTTGTAAGGGTTTTAGTCAAATTATAGAACAACATTCTTAGACCGTCCCTCACGATGAAAAACCTAGCTCTGACACTACTGATAACCCATCAATATTGAAGGATAATCAACCACCAATATGGAAAATCAAATATATCAACAGGACACACATATCTTGTAGAAATACAAAAGAACAACATACATCATTTGTCTCACAAATAAAATGTCACAAGAAGATAATTACACCCTTACTTATTTTTCACACGCACGCACATTGCATAGACAATGACATAACAACCTGAACCTTAATATTCGATAGAGAATAATAAGGTTTTTAAAATATGACATATATATATATATATATATATATATATATATATATATATAATATATATATATATATATATATATATATATATATATATATATATATATATATATATATATATATATATGATCAGCCGCACTTAAAGTAGCAAAAGCAAGCCATCCCAAAACCATCCCAGTGGCAAGTTCCACTGTGTGCATTTTCCTTATTTTTGCAAGTTTTATTGCACTTTGAATCGCTCCCACACCATCCACTCCAGTTTTCGCTGTACTCCTTGCAGTACTTGACGCCTTCCACTTCCACTTCTGCATTACATCAAACCACAACACTTTTACCTCTGCTATAACAAATATAATGACGTATAGTACACATATAAAATATGACTAGCTCCTACATACTTGGTAGCCAAGATGATGAATATAGTACATGATGTAAGCCTAATCGATCAAAAGAACTAGGGATCAGAACACGGTTTAGATGGTGTTCCCTTTGTCTCATACTACCTCCGTTACAGGTTATGTGCAACGATTTGACATAAAGCAGAGAGGGAAAATGTCTAATCGTTGCACATAACCTGTAACGGATGTAGTAATAAATGACACTGTCAAAGTTTGTATACATGCATGCTGATGCACTAATTTTACTTTGTTTTCACATAAAGAAATACTAATGAAAATTATATATATAAAAAAAATTATATTATAAAACTTTATATCAAGAGCTATCTAATAACATATTTTATGATAACAGTTGTTGTTATGACAAAAGACATAACAGTTGTTGTTATGATATCATATAAATAACATATTTTATGATAATATTTGTTGCTATTATGATATCATATAAATACCTATATGAATAGCGAAATCTAAAAAAAGTCCAATGTGTCAATTATTTTAGGATAGATAAAGTACAATACAGACAAATATAGGTGCATACTTGAAACGAAAGATAAACTTATTACGACTTACCCATGTTGGAAATGAGAAAAAACGAGGCATAAAACCAAGAAATTGAATGAGCTACGACGAGAAGCCATTATTGTACTTACACTATTTTTTTTTTACTTGAATTGTAGTTTGAGGTGTGTATAACATGGCTTTAAGTGCTCGTATTTATAGGGGAGGATCTGCTAATCAGTCACACAATTTCTTGATTAGTTTATTATGTAGAACTAGTTTAAATTCCATCTCAAATTATTTTAATTATTAATTCAACATTTGACTTTCTCCCTTAGATGCTAAGTCTTATCCATGAGTGACGCCCCCTGTTCAAAATATGAATATACTTTTTTTTAAAGATGCCCATGTCAGTATCCGACTGGGATAGCGCATTTGGTTTATGATGGGCGAGTCTTCCAACAAGAGTTTGGGCATACAGCGAGGCTCGAATCCAGGATTTCCCTTAAGGAATATTAAGTTGCTTACCATTTGAGCAACTCTTGTTGGTGTTCAAAATATGAATATGAAAGATAAGAACAAGTTAAGTTTTGCACGTAAGTCTACTGTGTCATTCTTAAAAAAAAGACGTCATAACATGATGATGTGTCATGTTATAATTGGTCAATTTTTTAATTTATTTTAAAAAGCCTAAGTATAATTTTTTTTTTTGGAGGCAAGCCTAAGTATAGTATACATGTATTATGTAATTGTTAATACATGTATTTTTTAAAGAATACGTAACATGATGTGTCCTTTTTTTTTAGTCAAAAAAAAAATCTATTTTTATCTTTTTAAAGTCATTTTTGAAAATTTAATTTTAATTAAAATTTAGAAATTAAAAAATTATCATTATTCTTCATTCATGATCTTAATTAATCACTCCCAAAATCTTGTATAATCTATTCGAAACTTAGACCAAAATTCCGACCAAAACTACGTCCAAAGATCTTATTTTTTGGGTTATGAATCTGCTTCGTTCCATGATCCGTATACAAATTTCATTTTAGGGTATGATTGATAATTTTGATTTAGGTAAGAAATTAAGTTGTTTGATAGTTTTGAGGAAGAATATAGCCTTAGAAGCGTGTATTATGATGATCTAAAACAAAGATCTTTCAATTTTTTAACGATCAATGGACAACGAGTGTGTGCTCTGAAATTTACAGTTCAAAATTATTTTTTTTCGCAAACCAGTTTGATCCAAAATTGAGATCTGCAAAAAAAATTTAATTTATTTTTGGTTAGGTAATTACCTAACCCACAAACAAGTTCGATAAAATTTTATTACATTTTTCGCATCAATCAAGGGTTGCAAACAAAATAAAATGCGACCACTTCATCTTCTACTAACCTGATACTCTTTGTTCTTTGACAAAATTGCATAATTTGAGTCCACATAAATCAAATTTTCAAACCATTTAAAGCGGAACAAAAACCTAAAATCAAAAAGTGAAAAAAAAAAAAAGCAAAAACACAATTTGTTTTTGAATTTTTATCCCAGTTTTACTCCGAGTTTACGAATTTATCAACAACTAATATTGATTTTGGGAATGGGAGGATAATCTATGACATGATTGATGAACATACATGAACAATGATGAACAATTTATTTTTTGATTTTTAGTTATATATATAAATTTAAAAATTAATTAATATTATAAATATATATTTTCATAATTTATAATTATGTATTTCTTAAAAAATTACATGTATTTAAAAATACATAAAAAAAATACAATTTAATACATTATGGACATTAAAAATAATTTAAAATGAAAATAAAAATACTAAATACAGACCAATCAAATTTCGCCACATTAACAAGTTGTGGTGTTATTTTTAAAGAATGACATAGTAGAATTTTCAACATAGGTTTTAAGATCACTTTATTAATTCGAAGATTTGAATCTTTATTAGTGGCATCACATATGGGATGTGACAGATTAGCACAATTATGGACTAATTAAGTTGATGATGATCTAATTAAGGTCAGCATTAGGATCAATTCAAATTTCTCACCCAAAAAAAAATTAATTAAATAATGTAATTACTAATGTTATACTAATTCTATACTGTACTACTTTTCCTCAAAAAAAAAAAAACAAAAAAAAATCTAGTAGTTCTTTACTTCCCTTTCAAAAGAAAAATAAGCATTATACTAGATCTCCACGCATATCAAAATATTTCAATAAATATGTAGAAAATGATATAACATATTGAATAATTAGGGAACTTAAAGTGAAATTATAAAGCATAATTTAGCAATAATAATAAATCGAACCAATTTTATCATACATTCTTAAATTAATATTCTGTATCATATTAAAAAAATATTTACTATATGTTTAGCTCAAGTGGTTAGAGCTTTCCTCCTGATCCTAGGAGGTCTTAGGATCGATTCTCACCCCACCCTGTGGTTCTCTAAACACAAAAAAAAAAAAATATATATATATATATATAGTGATTGTATATATATTTTTTTATATAGATCTTATTGTGTGCAAATGTTTAAGTAACAAACTGTCACTCACCCACTCAACAAGGGAAAGTGTACTTCATGGCTCATGCACCTCTAACATCCCTGGTGTTCAACGAGAGCAATAATTTGTATTGTATAACCGGTTGTACACTTGTATGATGTAATATATATTTTCTATTCATATTTGTTATAAATATTGGAGGATTGGAGAAACTCCAAATGAGCGCAAAAGAATGAGTTTACATTGTGTACGTTACATTCATCGCTACTATATATCAAAAATTTTAATATAACGACTATACAAGGACAATTTAATTGTTCTTTATTACTATGACCAAAATTATTAACCAAACTCAGAGTTAACCATTTCAATGGATATATCAACTTTGGTGAAAACATAAAACCAATATTAGAGTATCAACTCACCAATCATCTAACAGGGTTGTTACAACAATTTTTAAGTTTGTACACCAAACAAAAAAATAAAAATAAAAAAAATCTAAATCTGTTGTTCTATGTTACATCTAATTCATCAAAAAATCACAAACAATGTGAATGAAAAATAAATCACATGTAAATTTATATATATATATATATATATATATATCAAGGGAATGTGAATCCTGTACCACCTGAACCCTGAGAAGAAGCTGAAGGTGGATTTATAGCAATGTAAAGTAAAGAGATTGTGATAGCAATTAGTCCTGACCAAACAAACACAATTGTAGGTGTTTTCCTCCTTCTTCCCATCAAACCTTTAGCAAAAGGGTACAAATGAGCCAACACCCAGAAGCTAAAGAACGCGCCGCCCAAGAACTTACTCCATGATGGGACTGAGCTATATATGGTCCTGGCAAATGCATAGCATACTGCTATTATGTTTACCATTGCTATTACTATGGGTGGGAGCATCAGTGAACTCCATTTCACTAGGTAAAGCTCTGCAAACACGTCGTCTTCATCTTCTGATGCTGACTTTGAGGTCAATGTGAATGAAATCTCGATACCTATATGACATACATTACCATATATGAGTTGTCCCACATTCAATAACGACGAGACATTGATATAGTTATAATGAATTGTGTACTTTTCATGGATTATGAGCAGGAAATTTATTGATTAATATGAAATTTATACCTGCAATAACTTTGAGAAGGCCTTGAATAACAGCAGCAAGGTGAGAACTAGTCCCGGAAATGAGCCAAAATTGTTCATTTCTCCACCATTCCTCCAACTCGATCCCTGACCATTTTACCTCCAAAATGGCCAAAAATATCAAACAAAGTGTCATGATCAACAAGTATATCAAGAATGTAATGCTAAGCGTCTGCACGATGAACTGTCCTGAGAAAAGTGACAGCGCCGGGAGGAAGCAGTACATGATGAGGAAAAGAGAGGTGAAAGGGTATATCCCAACATTGATGTAGGCCAACCTCTGTAGCAGCTTTAGGCGGCGAGTTCCTAAGAAGGCGTTGTTTCTTGAGAAAAAAATTTCTACTGACCCTGTAGCCCACCGCAGCACCTGGTGCAGCCTGTCTGTCAGATTAATTGGAGCAGACCCTCTGAAGGAGTCTCGTTTTGTGATGCAGTAGACTGAACGCCACCCACGGTTGTGCATCCGATAGCCGGTCACCACGTCTTCTGTTACTGAGCCGTAAATCCATCCTACTCTGTCTCCCCATTCTGTTTTATCTTCATACCTGTGTGTGCATATTTTTACAAAAGAGCTAGTATAATGACTTCTTTTTCATTAGTAATGCTAAAATACTGCCTGTGTTTGTTTCTGATACTAATTCTGACTTTTTTTTTCTGATGTAACCTCAAGTATGGAGTATATAAATTAGTGTAAGACGATCTTACCAGCAAGAGATAACGGATACAGCTTCAGCAACAATGCTAGAATCAAGGGGCTCGCGAGGTACTCTAAGAGCACCCGGAGGCCTTCCATACTTAACTGCAGGATGATCAGCCAAGGGACGCCCTTGATACTCCGCAATAGGTATTGATTCTGACAGCATTGTTGAGTTTCCGAACCTCTTAGGCAGCAAATTCACGTCCAATTCCGGGTCAAGTTCTGAAGAAGTTAGTGCTTGAGTCTCAGAATCTTTGTTGGTGTTAGCTATCCTGTCTGGATTCGGTGGGTCAAAACCATACAACGCGAATCTCCTGAACATAGTACCAGTGCCTACATAAACTGGACCCTGCATCAAGGAACAAAATTAATGGTTACAATTTTAAACATCATTTACTGAAATTAGCATGTTTATAATGTTACAATACAATAAAATACATTAGAAACTGCTAATTCAGGAAAAATTGGACCAGACTAGCTAAGGGATAATTATGTTAAATAGGTACTTAATTAGAAATCCGAGTGTTTAAACCTGAAGACCATCAAGAGCACGCATGTTCCCATCGAAGAACACGTTGTTTCGATTAGCATATCGATCAGAAGGATCAATACCTTCGAACCTTTGAGGGAACTGTATGTAACATATGTCTTCACCACCTCGATCAAGCATGAAGCACATACCTTCACGAATGGCCTTACAGTTGTAAATGTAGTGATCACAATCAAGATTAAGGATAAATGGACCGTTAGAGAGGATGGCAGATGATCGCACCAACGCGTTCATAGCTCCAGCCTTCTTGTTGTGATCATACCCTGGCCTCTTTTCACGTGACACGTACACGAACATAGGTAGGCGTATGTCAGTTTCAGAAAAGTCTAGGAGTTTGTCATCTGGTGTTCCCAATATTGGGTCTGGTGGTGGTGGCTTCAACATTACCTGCATTCCATTTGTGTTATCTTAATGGTATGTAACCTCATCACTAACTCTTATAGTTTCGTAAATAAATCAATAACTTTTTGTTAAATATAATACCATAAATATTGATTTATTTATGAAAATGTCATGCTATTTGGTATATATATATATATATATAAACGGTTTTTTTGTTTATTATAATGATGGGTCTTCAGTCTTCTTCGAAATAAAGTTAGTAGGCAAACCTGAAGGATTCCTGCATGATCACCCTTAGCATGTTCACCAGCAGAGACAACCCAAGTACCAGGCCAATGAGTGCCATCAGCCATCCAAGTAGCCTTTTGGGCTCGAATATGTTCGGACCGATCTCCACCATTATCCCTCATTTGTTTCATCATCTTCATCTCCTCCCTAGCATTAAACGCATCAGACCGCCTCCTAATAGAGTCAGGTAACCCATTAATTCGAACCTTAAACTCGCCGTATTCCCTCTTAATCTTCCTCCTATCTTTAACAAAATCAGGTTGCAGCTTATTTTTAGTAGGGTCACCCTTCAATGTAAAATAAGTCTCAGGATTCCTAGGCTCAATGTCATGTTTCCTACAAAATGGCACCCATAACTCAGCAAAGCTAGCTGCCTCGGCCATTGCCTCAAACGTTAGGAGCGCGCCACCATCATCTGACACGTAACATGCTATCTTCTCGACAGGATAATCAACTGATAAGATCGAAAGGATGGTGTTTGCTGTAACAAGAGGCGGTTCTTTTTCAGGGTCAGCGGTTGAAACAAAAAGATCAACACCAGGTAAGTCAGACCGCCCGGTCGGGTTCGATGGGGAAGGTAGCTCGAATTTTTCCCTTAGGGCGTGGAGGTCCGTGGACCGGTTTATAGGACATATTTTAGGAATGATGTCAAGAAGCCAAGAAAAGGCAAACCATATTTCACAAACAACGGACATTAGCCAAAGCCATACTGCTTCTTCATTTGGATTTTTTACACGCCATGCTAAGAATAGGCCTAAAAAGACCAAACGTATCACGATTAATAACCTGCAAAATTAAAATAAAAAGATTGATTAGAAATGGCAAATATATAAATATCTTAAAGACTACATTAATTGGATTATATGGATTATCAACCAAATCAATAATAGATAAAATTGTTACCAAATGAAACTAGTATAGGGACATAATGTGGTGCTACTAAACAATCTTGTGCCATTTTTTTATAATTATTTTGATGAATTGTTTTTACCTTTGACGATAAACAAGTTAACATGGATGATGTGGTGTTTAATTTTATGCTAAAAAATTATTGCTATTGCAAATTTACAACAAGTAATAAGTATTACGTGATAATCAAAGAAAATGGTCACGATAGTTAAATAAAGAATTAACCTGTAAGGGCTAATGATGCCACTAGGAATAGGAATAATCCTACTAAGAGGCTTAAAAGGCTTATCAGCAGCTTCAAGCACACCACTCATTCCATCTCCGTCGCCATCGTAAGCATCCTCGGGTGGCCAATAAGCTGTCCCATGTCCATAAGTCCCCTGTGTCTCATTGAACAACCACTTGTTATGGTCGAAATCACCACCTTTCTTCCTGCTCATCATTCGCCGGTCTTCATTCCCCTTGTTTGGAGCTGGCAATGGGAGAGCTCCACCTGAGAAATCCGGGTGTTCATCATCGTAGTCTTCTAGTCTATAGGGTTCCTTGCATCCTGGACACACTCCACTTCCTTTTTGAGCATCGATGAAGCAATCATTGCATATTGTAAATCTACATACAAAAATAATTTAGAAATTGGATATATAACACGGTCCAAATAAACATTCCAAACCAATAACGTACAATACATTCAAAGCCCTTTTTTTTAAAAAAAAAAATGTAAGAATAGCACGTTTCATTTTGTTAGCAACTTCTGAATATTTCGTATTTTATATCTTACAAATAATACCTTAACGTTGCAAATAATAAGAAACGGAGATTGATAAATACCTGCATTCACAAGGGTAGACACGATTTCCACGATCATCTTTCATGCCCTCACCATCACACACAGGCATTTGACAATAACCCGCCTTACCACGAGCCACATGATCCGGTGGGCATGAATCAGAATCAGTCACCTTATCCATAAGATGAGCCCTTGTAACACTATTGAACCCACCCGTAAATAAGGAATTAGACACGTATTGTTCCTCGGCCTTAGCTGCCACGGACGAGCCATCCATGGGTTGATTGTCGGGTGTAGGAGGAATATGCACGGTATAATTCATGTAATCCCCTGAAAAATCCCCTGACATGTCAAGATCCTCCCTCGAAAGAGTTACATACTTCCCACTTGATGTCCTCCTCGCGAACTTGACTGCTTGACCATTGCCACCGGAGGAGGTTCTCGTGTTTTGGGATCCGCCACTACCCGAGCTCCCTTGGCTTCGGATAGCCTTCTTCGAAGGGTCGGAAGATGGCATCATCTTGCTCTATACACCCTCTTGTTTTATGTTGTTGCTAGAGAGTGTGTAATAACATGAAATAATTAAATTAAACTATAGGATAATAGAGAATAATTATGTAAGTTAAATTATCTCCATGTTATTGTTGTTAATTTTTTTTGGAGAAATTATGGTTTTGGTGAAAATGAGGAGAACAAAGTTAGGGAGAAGACAATGAATTGAATGAGAGAGAATTGCATGGGGGGGGGGGGGGGGGGGGAGATTAATCCTAGTTGTTTTTAGTTTGTGCTTCCGCTAATTTTAAGGATTGACATTAGTGGACAAAAATATTTAGAAAGCTAAATAAAAATTTTCAACGTGAATCTAGGTTTCAAAATATTTGTTGGTTTTTAGCATTGCATGAAATCTTCTTGCTTATAATAATTATGCTATTTTAATGGTAAACTATGAACGTATATATTAGTGAATTGTGACGCCAAAATTTAGATGGTCAAACCTTTTTGTCATGATTCATGAAGATGAATAAAAAAAAGTTGCTTTTTTTAATTATTATAAATGATATAATTAGCTTAGGAAAAAAATTAAGTTCACAACAAAAACATTCTACAAAAAATATAGAGCAAAAACATTTGTTATATTAACACATTTTTTTACACATGTTTTTGTATAAAAAAAATAAATAAACATTATCTACACTAATTTATTTGTGTATATGTCGTCAATTTCAAAGTTTAGTGTGACAGGGGTTACTTATTCCAGGGTTACTCGGTCGGTTAGCGGTTAGGAGTTACCCTCACCCTCACCCTGAAAATGTGCTAACTGACTGAGTAACCCTAGAATCAGTAACTCTTGACCTACTAAATAACTCCTCCCTTAAATAAGTAACCCTGATCACACAGCGTGGCCAGCCACATAGAAAAAAATTCCAAATGTTTTTACCCTTAATTCTTTTTATATTTAGGAAATTTTGATATTTGCTAACACTAAAAACACTATGTTTCATATTTTCTTCCTATTTATTTTTTTTATTTTTTTTTACTTTACTACCAACCAAATCACACATTGTTAAATTTAGGGAAATTCCCATTGATACACTCCAGGTATTGACTTTTCTCAGCGGTACCACTTTTTTTTTTTGACTTCCTGCTGATACACTTGAGGTTTTGACTTTATAATTGACGTGATTAAGTCTGTTAATAAGACGTTAATAACTTATTTTATTCACATTTTAGGCTTAGTAATAGATGAAATGACTAATATACCCCCATTTTTTTAATCATTTCCCTCCAAAATTTCCCCCTTAATGTTGCTGTTATTTCCCTCCAACTTCCCAACCCTTATTCTCTCCCTATAAAACCCCACTTTCCCTCTTCTATTCTCCATAAAATTTCCCCTCCATTTTTTCGAGCTCACCTCTTCTTCTTTTCTTTTTATTTCTGTTGGTCCCTGCTGTTCTGACATGGCTGGTTCTGCAGGCAGTGGTTCCTCTTCTAGCAGCAGATTTGGGAGGTCCATGTGGGTGAGACGAATTCAATGCAATTGTAATCCACCAAGACTTGCTGATATTAGGGTGTCTGACTCAATTTCGAATCCAGGGAGGTCATATTACAAGTGCAGGCATTGTGGTTTGTTTATGTGGGTTCCTGAAGATCAAATTATAGCCAATCATGAAGAATCATCCAATTTGAGAGTATTAAGAGAGGAATTTATTGATTTCACAGACAAAGCATATGAGTTTGCAAGCTATGTTTATATGGTTGTTAGAATTACTCTTGTGATGTATCTTAGTTTACTGTTTGTAACCCTGAAATGAGCATTGTGTATTTAGTTGTCATGTACTTCAGAGACTAAGTGTACTAGGAACAAATTATAAAAGTAAGGTTGTATTTTCTTGGTTTTGAATGAAAATGGAAAAATAATTTGCATTTTGATTGAGTAAGGTTGTATTTTCTTGGTTTTGAATGAATCAATCATTGAGATCAATTTGAGGGGGTTGTTCATTTGAGGGTGCAGTATCAGAAGGTTGATCAATATGGAGTGGTTCAGATTGGGAAGGTGCAGCAAAAGGTTGTGCAGATTTGGACTTGTTCCTTAGCCTATTGGTCATTCTATTCAAGGCACTTGGTTTCTTAGCAAAACCTACCCAAATGTGATAAATCTCACACTCACCTAGGGTGTGAATCATCTTAAAAAGATCAGCATCATCTAGTAAAGGGTGATTCTTTTCATTGAAACCATAACCAAATGATGGGTTGACTATAGGAAACTCAGAGTTTACTGCAGCAGTGTCCTCAAAATCCATAACCAAATCAAGCAAATTACATCTATCTAAGTCAACAGCAAGATCAACATGCTTATCAAAGTAATGAAACCTTAACACAACATCACTCATTCTGCAAAAGAAGGTAAACAGTATACACACTTACAACATGCATATAAATTCAAAATCATATCCAACAATCCACAACATTCAAATAAATTCCAAATCAGGTATCCAATTACCTATAACATGCACATAAATCCCAATTCAGGTATCCAACAATCAATCAAATAAGCAAATACATTCCAATTCAAGTAAATCAATGAAACAGGATCATGCCATTTCATCCAAATTAAATACATACTCTACATAAATAATTGAACACACATAATCACGCACCTAATATACCTAAAAAAAACCCTAAAATCGCACAAATATACAACATTTACATCATGAATTTAACTTAAAATCGCAAAGAAAAAAGAACATCACAACTGCACCAAATCATGCAAAAATGAACAGTAGTAGTGCTAAAGTACCTGAATTGTGCTAGATTATCCTCTAATGATTTTGTAGACCAAAAAGATCAGCGCAATTCCCTTGCAAAACCCTTGGACTTCGTCGTGAATGATGCAGAGAGCAGAGGAGAGAGAGATTGAAATTAGAACAAGGAGTTTGTTTTGTGTCAAATCGACATAAATGGAAGGGGAAGGGGTTTAATTATGGGTGATGGAGGGAAGGATTAAAAGGGGGCATTTTAGTCTTTTCACCTAATCTCAACTTTTAACCTAGAATTACTAAGTTATTAACGTCTTATTAACAGACTTAATCACGTCAATTATAAAGTCAAAATCTCAAGTGTATCAGCAGGAAGTAAAAAAAAATGTGGTACCGCTGAGAAAAGTCAATACCTGGAGTGTATCAATGGGAATTTCCCTTAAATTTATTCAAAAAAGATTAAAATTTTTTTTAAAAAATAGTAACCCAACCACTCTCAACTACTAGTCCCATCCCGTAAGCCACCCCTCCCGGCCCCCTCCCCCCTGCTGGTGGCTGGCGCCCAAAGTTTCGGCCGGCGCCGGCGACCCCTTCCCTCCCTTTTCCCCACCTACACAACCCATTTGTTGTTGTTGAAGAAGCACGAAGATCCAATTGATTCGAAATAAACGCACCCACAAACCCTAATCTCCATTATTGTTGATTTAAGAAATAGATGACGACGGCGATGGTTGTAGTTGGTTCGAATTGACATCGATTTTCGAAGGAGAATCTAACAGAGAAAAGAGAGGGAGAGATAAAGTGGGCTGGCAGTGAAAGGGGGGGTGGTGGTGGAAGCTCAAGAATGGTGGTGATGAAGCTAAGGAGTGGCAGGGTAGGGGAAGGGGGTCATTTCCAATGGAGGGAACGGGGAGGGAAAATGGGAAGAGGATGGCTTTCGATTCGGGGCAGCAAGAAGGGGAAAAGGGAGGGGGAGTTGGATGCGTCGGATGCCAACAGAGGGGAGGGATGGCTAACGGGGAGAGTTGGCTAACGGGGAGGGGGTGGCTAGACTGTGGTTGGGTCCCACTAACAAAAATAGTAACGGTATTAGGTATCAGATAGTTAAATTTAACAATGTGCAAAAAGACTTGCGTGGACCTGGTCCACAATAATATTATTGTGGACCCGAGGTCTATACACACGCAACTGACATTATATTGAACATAGTGACCATTATTTTTAACATAGTAACCTTTATTAAAACTACTACAACGTTTAATAATATTGTGAACTTGAAATACGACGCTATTATCTTAATATTAACATAGTGGCCTTTATTATTCATATTGATCAGTATATAAAATATTTCATTACAAAAATAACCACTTAGGCCTATATATTACCAAAATGATTTTTATTTCAACATAGTGACCTTTTTTTAAATTATAGTGACCCTTTTTTTTATTAATAAAACAACCATATTTTCTTTAATGTTAGTGGTCCACAATAAATTAATGTGAACCAGGTCCATTTAAGAATTTGCAAACAATGTGTGAATTAGGTGGTAGTAAAGTAAAAAAAAAAAAAAAAATTAAACAAATAGCAAATGTGAATCAAGTTGTTTTTACCGATAACATATGTTAAAATTTCCTTATACGGAGTATTTATTTACCCTTAATTCTATTTATTTTATTTCATTTAAGAGTAGATCTGACGGTTGATATTATATGCGAGTCATTAATCGATTAATCGTCCTCTCATGCTTTGATTATTTTACCCCTTTGAAGCTGTTCGCTTAAACGCTGCACCTCCCTCCCTCCTCCATTGCAGCCTACATTGAGTTCTCCATTGAAGCAGCTTCTTAGCTTTCCTTCCTCCATTGAAAAAGCTCCTAAGGTAAGATGCAATTTTCTGTTTTTTCAATCATTTAATATATCAATTTCACAATCTAGGGTTTAGTTTCACGCTATTCTTAGTTTAATTGTCACTATAACCAATTTAGGGTTCTTCCAAGGTGGGTTATTGAACTATTGGTTGTAATTACTGAAGTAATGAAAGATTGTAACGAGCGATTGTGTTGCTAAAATTTACTATAGTGATATTCTTAAGCGAGAAGAATTTGTGTGATTTTTTTAGCCTAATTTGATAATTAAGTCTAATTTGGTTTCTAATTTGTTGTATTATTCATGTTTGATCGATTCAACAAGCTGAACCGAGAAATGCTTGGTTTGAGGCTCTTCGAGCTCGAACCGAGTCTACTTATATTCTGGTTTGTCTCCAAGGTTTAGCACCCCTAACCCCTCTTAAGAAGTTTGATGATTAGCAATTCCCCAATACCATTGAACCAATTTGATTGATTATACAGCCGAATCGCAAGCATTTGTTTATAACTCTTTAATGCTATTTTGGATTAATAAAAATGGGATTTCCTATTTATTCACCCTAAGTTTGATAATTAATGTTAGGCTGAGAGCTCTGGTAATATGTTTTTGACACTGTGAAGTTGTGTGATTTGTTGAGATAGATAGAAGGAGAAAATGAAGCCAGTTGTGGGGGTGGTGGTCTCAAACAAGATGCAGAAATCGGTAGTGGTGGCAGTTGACCGTCTTTTCCATCATAAGCTCTTCAATCGGTATGTTAAAAGAACTAGCAAATTCATGGCACACGATGAGCAAAACGAGTGCAACATTGGTGACCGGGTAATTCACTTATCTCACACGAGTATTCTCTTACTTGCATTGTTTTTATTCTTACATTTGGCTTATTTATTAGTTGCTTTGTGTAAGGTGCATTTAGGACAAAGAGAATTAAGACTAATTGTTCTTTTTCCCGTTGCTGATTTAGGTCCTCTTTTGTATGTGGATTGTTATACTGCCATTTCTCTGTTTGAGGTGTCCTACTGAAATATTTTGTGTTATCATCAAATCAAGTTTGTGTGATGAGAATGGCATATATTCTACCTTCGTAGTGGCATTGTAGTAGTATTGTCAAACAAAAGGCGGAATTTGTTAGGGCTGGATGGATTCTGGGCCTTCTGGGCCTCCTAAACTTTAAGTAGTCAAAACCTATATAATTCTGCAATTTTTGTCCCTGCTAATTGTTGGTGTAAGAAGCATTGGCATTGTCGCCAGTATCAACTTCGTTATGACCCATGACATCACCAAGATCACGACTTCATTAGTAGTCATAAATTTTTGTATGAGATTGCATAGTTCAAATTATTGACTCAGTGATTAGGTCTCCTGGTGAAGTGCTGGAGAAAGTATATGAAGTAAGTATATAAATGAGTAGCTGTAATTTTAAGGCATATTTACAACCAGATATAATACTAATTTATCATTATCAGTAAACTGTGCTGCTGTATATTATTTGTTCCTCAATCCAAGATCTTTGGCTTTGCAAGGAGATTATCCACTTCAAATTATTTATGGGCCTTTGCTGAACTTGACTAGGTTGAAAATTTGTAGCTTTAACATAGATTATATAAATGTACTTGTGGATCCTGCTTGTTATGCAGTGAAGGCACTTTTTTGGCTTTTTTTCCCCATAAGTAGTCCTGAAGCCTTGTATGGCCCTTGCATGTGGTAAGGGTCAATATGTTGTTCAGATTGCATTTTGCATTAATTGGGTCTCAGACATAGAGTCTTATTGAACATAATCTACCTTTGTGGTGATTGTGCTCTACATTAATTGGGCTTCAAAGTTCAAACATATTTCATATTTATCATAATGTTGAATAGGTCAGCTAATCTTTCAAATGAGTATTGAGCTATTAATGACTCGATAAGTAGATCTATAAACCATGGAAGTTTCCTTTGGACATTATCTTCTTTTTATCTGTTAGTTTGGAATTCAGTTGATTTATGAGTACCCATGCAAGGTTATTTGTAACTGCCTCTGTGTGGTTTAAACAAGCTGGACATTTGAATTTTCTAGGTGAAACTATTGTGATTTGTGAATTGGAATTAGCTTGTTGATATTTTTGTAATTGAAAGCACTTCTCATCAATAAGTGGCTGAAATGATGAATAGAGTTTGCATAGCAGTCTCTCTGCTTGTCTAGATCGGCCTCTAATGTTAGACTCAGCTAGACCTTCCAAGAGTCACTGCCAACAGTAAAATCATTACAGGGTGTTGTTTTTAGCTGGCTGTTTCTCTTCAATGACTGCCAAGATGAAATCCTTACGTTCTACTATGATTATACTCTTGTTATTTACAGAGTACTTCTTATGTTTTCTTTTAATGTACCTTGTTCGGAGAGGTGAGTGACTGTAGGAAAAAGGTGAAATAAAAATTAGAGAGAAAGGTGAGTGAGTGTAAGAAAACAGTGGAAAAAGTAAGAGAGAAGATGTAGAAAGGTGTTAATAATGTAGGTTTAGGAGGTAAGATGGTAAAATTTATTTGCCAAAAACTAAAATAAATTTTGAAGTGGGTACATCAAGTTAAAACACCTCAAAATAGAAAGTGGGTGCATCAATATAAATCTGAGGGAGTATGCTATATCATCAGCCAACTTTTTCTTTTTTTCTCCTGTTGAAGCTTCTTTATTTTGTCTGAAACCTTTTTAAAGATCTACTGTAAAATTTACTATGATGAGCATAATTGTATTTTCATGGTAATAGCATGCTTGTGTTGCCTTCCGAGTCATAGATGCTCTGTTTTAATTCGTTGTTCTTACCTAAAACTGTCATTTCTTTCCCCTTTTACCATACTGCATTGGTTGGAGTACGGTGCATTGATACAGTGTTTGAAACTATCTTGACTTGCAGGTTCGACTGGATCCCTCAAGGCCACTCAGTAAACGAAAAAATTGGACTGTAGCTGAGATTCTGAAGAAAGCACGGATATATACACCACCACCATCAGCAGGCAAATTTCCTCGATCAAACAGCAATACTGAAGCTTCCTCAACTCCTTCAGTATAACTTTTTTCAACCGTGTTTGTTTGCTACAGTGGTCTTGAGAGCATTTCTAGGCAATACGGCTGTACTTGGAAGTCTCAAAGAAGCAGATTGCGCTCTCTTTATTTTTATTCCTTAGAGAAGTGCCTTGAATTCTCTCAGCAGCAGACTGGATTTTTCAGTCTTTGTTCCGATTTTAGTAGTTCAACCTTGCGTATATTGTATTAGTAGGAGCTATATCTTTTGTGCTTTTAATGAATGTGTTTTGAGCTCACAAGTGCAATTTTCCGATTCTCTCTAGATATGAACAGAGCAACAAGTATGTTGTATTAGAATAAATAATTATCCTTAGATATGGATTAGATTGTTTGTTTAGCTGGTAAGACAAAGCCAACTGCATATCAATCCAAAACAAGACCTTCCTCTAAACAGAGTAAAAGACTGAATGAGGTCTAAATCAGTGTGCAACCTAAATCGCATTCCTTATAATATGGTATCAAAGTCTAATTTTGTTATAAAATCTAAATCCAGTAGTTAACAATTCAAGTACAGAGATTTTATTAAAAGTAAGCACTTAGCACTGCGATTACTTTCTTGTGATATGTAGAGAGATCTAAAATTAAAAGGATGATACAATTGCTTACTAAAGAGCCGTGTGAACGTAAACTACTGTAAAATAACAAATCTCTTGGTATAATTTACATCTTTGCTCTAACAGCTAGCCTTGCTCTCAGCTCCTGAGCCACAGCGTCAATGAATTCTTCAGTGTTCAAATATTGAGATCTCTTGACTCTGAAGTAGTGAATTGCACAAGTAAGACTCAGTGTTCAAATAAAGGTTTAAAGAGCATGGCATATTTAATTTCAGAAAATTTAGCAATTTAGCAGTTAACCACACACACACAAGAAGCTGCTTTCAATCAGACAACCACAAACACACAAAAGAAGAAGAAGAAACTGCTTTCAATCAGTCAGCCACCATTAACAGCAAAAATTATATAAAACCATAAGTAAGCTATTCCATAAAAAATCAGTACTTGACTGCAAAAGTTTGAAAGATAACTTGGAAAAAAATGGGAGTAGAGAATGGTTCCATGTAATTCTGCAGTTCCCCTCAAAAAAAAATAAAAAAAATAAATTTCTGAAGTGAATGTATTTCTGATGAGTTCAACTAATCGTGTAGCTGTTTGGCGCTGAACATAGGGATGAAATATCACTTGAGTTTAATTACTGCTCTTTCATTCCAGGTTTACAGTATAAATGACATATAACATATTTCCCTCTATTTAGTTACCTAGCTAGTTAGGCTAACAGACTGACATTTCCGATTGAAAACCCCGCCCCAAAATTTTAGGTGATTGTCTGCAAAACTATCTTGTGAAACTTACTTGGGCCCATGAATAAGGAGTGCCAGATCTTTAGTCATCTTCCCTGATTCAACAGTTCCGATACATGCTGCTTCAAGCTTACTTGAAAAGTCCGAGAGCTGAACATTGTCATCTAACTTGGCCCTGGTAATGTCTCCAACTCTCCATTCAGTTAAGTGTCATAAATTTGGAAACATAATTATTAAAACTTTTTGATACCTGTGTGCAAGCCCGCGCGTCCATGCAAAGATGGATGCTATACTATTTGTGCTGGTTTCACCTCCTTTCTGGTGAACACGAAAATGGCGAGTTACTGTTCCATGGGCTGCTTCAGCTTCAATAGTCCGTCCATCTGGACACACCTGGAGCAGAAGATTAAATGTTCAACAAATTTAATGATGAACACAGATGCAAAATTGAGGACGAATATCCATATATAAATGAGCACAAGTATCGACTATGGCACAAACCAAAACAGAGGTCATCAACCCAAGTGATCCAAATCCTGCAATAGTTTTACAAAAAAAATGTAAGAGGAAGTTAGAAAAATTAGTTCATGGGCTTCACACAAGCAGCTTAAGTTTACAGCAGAGCTGATTTCAAACCTTGAGCCAAAAAATCACTTTGGACATCTCCATCATAGTTCTTGCATGCCCAAACATAGCCCCCTTCACTCTTCATAGCATAAGCAACCATGTCATCTATAAGACGATGTTCATACCTACATGTTACAGAATATTAGCTACATTACCAGTCAAAAATTTAGTTTAATGCATGATGCAGACTGAGAAAGAGAAACAGGATCTCACCATATTCCCGTAGTTTCAAATTTTGACTTCCAATTTGCTTCATAAACTTCCTGGAATATATCCTTGAATCTTTAATGAAGAAACCAAAATCAACAGACTAAGTAAATGAGATTGTAATTTGCATGGAACAGACTTAGGGGGAAAAGAAACAGATATTGAATAGTCACCTCCCGTCATATTTCTTCAGAATAGTGTTTTTGGTGCTAAGATAAAGTGGCCAGTTCTTTTGAAAAGCAGTATTCATTGAAGCCTCAGCAAAAGCTCGTAAGACTGTCAAACAGATAAATTACATTAAAATAAGATATGGCAAACAGCTAGGATAAAGTGGTAGTAACGCAATACCTACCTCATCAGTATTATACATCGACATTGCAACTCCTCCTGGATGTTTAAAATGATAAACTTCTAATTCTGTCTTGTCACCTTCCCCGTCTGGAACTGCACATAGTATCACACTATTCTCACTTGAAGATTTTCAAGTAATGAAAAAGCAGCATATATTAAAAAGATTTCCAAAAAAAAAAAAAAAAAAAAAAACTGACAGAGAAATGGAAGAAGGCTAAATATTGCACTGGACAAAATTGTCAACTCAATTAACAGATTACATTCTTCAAACTTCTGCCGAGATGTGAAAAACAGTAAAATCTCAGCCAAGGTAGGAATTTACCAAATACCATTTTAAGAGTTCCTGCTCCTCGAATGATCTGTTCGGATGCACGGTACTGATCCCCAAAAGCATGTCTCCCAATGCATATTGGTTTTGTCCAGCCTGATACAGTTGGTTTTAGCATGTGAATATGAAGATGATTAGATATAAATTAGCACAAAAGGACTTTTTAGTTTTGATTACCTGGAACAAGCTTTGGAATGTTTTTGCATATTATTGGTTCCCTGAAAACCGTACCTGAAAGGACGATACAACATATCAGTGAGAATGATCCTAAAGCCTGATTATTCCAGTTGCAAAATAAGACAATGTCATCAGAAGTGAAGGGAAAGTTCAGCATGATGTCAAGAAGTTCCTGCTTCTAGTGGATCTTATTAACAATAAATGTGTTTGCAAAGAAGAGGACTTCAGGGAGAAAATAAATTTCTTATTACTATCCTTTTCTAGAAGGTAATGAAAGAAGCAGAAAAGAAATTAAATGAAACCTCCTTCTCACTGGATAGAAAATTTGAACTCAGGATCCCAAAAGGCAGACGTAGTTCAATTTTTCCTCAAAAAACAAATTTATACACCTCATGAATCTTCACTGACCCCACAAAGTGATTTAGACGTGGAGAGCAGACACTCTTTTCCTAACTGATCTACGGAAGACAGAAGACAGAAGACATATAGCTAGATATAGAATTAAAAAATGATGAAACATACAGTGTACTAAATTTCATCACTACCGTTCAAAAAAAAAAAAAAAAAATCACTATAGAAGCCACAAAAGCTAGACCTTGAAACAAGCAAATATGACCCTAGATAGAAGACTTAGCAAAAAAAAAAATCATGAGTATGAAAACATAGTCAGTAACTAGATGATTGCACATTGGGAAGTGAAGAAAAGATTATCACCGTTTAGGATGTTTCTGATAGTTCCATTAGGACTTTTCCACATCTGCTTCAAGTTGAATTCCTTAACACGTCCTTCATCTGTTGGACGACAAAGATACTTAAATACTAACACTATAGTATATATGTTCAACATGGAATTACATGGACAAACTCTAAAAACACTTTACGTTAAAGGTGTTGGAACATTCAATTCCAATATATAAATAGTTTTTTAGATAAGGAAATATTTTAATGAGACAATAAAAGAAACAAGAAGTCCTCCCTCCACCCCTTCATCTCTCTCTCTCTCTCTCTCTTCTACGTGATGCCTCCAATATTTTTCAAGATAAGAAAATAATTACTGAGACAACAAAATAGGATAAATAATCAAAGAAACGAGGGATGAATAATAGCAAAAGAATTTATTCCAGCCTCATTTCACATCATCAAAACATCACAAATTTAAACATCATCATTTCTCTATAGCCACAAAATGGACATGATGACGAGGCAAGCCACAAGCCTATCACCAAAGGAACATCGACCAACCCCTAGTTCCTCCCAAATCTAACTTAATTTTACCTTGGGATGGTAAGAAAAATTCAAATTCACCATTGATTATTTTCACTAATATCTAACAGATTGCCTCGCTAGTGTCGCTAACCAACATCATGTTACTCAATCCTAAGATAAATCCACTTTAGCACCAAGAGCATCATACTCAATAGTGCTGCACTCTGACTAAGCCTCCAGGCCCCATGCTGCCATGCATCACTAAATTCTGAGGCAGACCACCGTTTTCCCTGCTATATTGCCTTTGAAAACAAACCCAATTAATTCATTCCTAGATCAATAGTGAGCTTCCCATAACTATTGGTAGTTAAGAGAGTTTTGGAAACTGTACAAAGACAACGAGAGAGTAGTTTCAAACTAAATTCAATAGTGTCTTTTTATGGTGAAAGTAAATGTGGATCAAAACATTAGCACTATTAAAGTACTTATCCAGAGAAGTAAAAAAAAAATAGATACCTGGTGTTATAGTTGCACATTTGATTGCAACATTGTACCTGAAACAGCGAAATCAATACACCATTGTGCTAAAATCACAGACAACAGGAACAAATTTATCATAGTACAGGCATTTTAACAGTAACTGAAAGCTAACAGCATAGTTGAAACTTGAAAGTACATAGATAGTTTGGCATAATCAGCTTATAGCAATACAACTGTGCACAAAAACAGATCGGAATAGAAGATCCAATGAATAAGTCATATTATCTACTTGATCCTGCCGCAAATGTTTATGACTTAGGAGACAATTTTCGGTTGATTAACTCATCAAAGAGACTGTAATTGTAGCTTCCTCTAAACTTTACTGGTCTGCCAGTTCAAATGTTTTTAGTGCCAGCAAAGAAAATATGAAGCTTTTGTATCATATCAGAACAAATGAATAAAGAGTCTATTCCTTAAAAGTATACTCATGGTACTATGTGATTTGTACGGGAAATAAATAGTAAGATACTATATAGAGATATACTTGAGTGTAGCTTCTGCACTTTCGACTGTGACTTTATCATTGGTGGCCTCACGATTTGGGAGACCAAGATCAAAGTACTTTATATCAAGCTCCAGAAAAGGATATATAAGCTGCTCAACATCGGAAAAAATTGTAATTAGACGTCTTACAAAATTAAACTTCATATGAAGAAAGTGATGGAACTATTCAACCAGAGTGAAAATATATTCCCGACCTTCTCTTTAATGGAATTCCAAATAATCCTAGTCATTTCATCTCCTGACATGTTAAAAAAGCAAGATTAAGATTTATGGAGACGAATTCAAAAGGAATGAGCATCTTGTAAGCAATTTAAGGCCACTTGACAATCAATGTCGGCATCAGTTTAAGATCTAACTCAGTATGTCGTGTAGAACGCGCTCTAAGGCCTCTATGGCATATTGCATTGTTAAGGAAACCCAGATTACCAGAAAGAAACCCATATGAAATTGACTAACTACTAGCAGATCAGTCAGCTTCAAGGAAAAGCAGCGCCTTTCAATGTCGGAAAATCCGATAAACATTCTTCACTCACTCACAAACATACACTCCATACTAGTTTTAATAGAATGAGTTCATTATACTACACAATACAATCATACAACACCAAACATACATATTAATACCAAAATGAACAAAATAGCTGCAGAGTTAAATAATGCCTAGATTAGAACACATTAGGCAAATCAATAGATAATTAAATCTTCCAATTCTGGCTAATCGACCTAATAGGCCCAATACAATGTAAAAATTCCGACCTTATATTATATTGGATTGAATCAAAAAATAATCTATATTGTTATGAAGTAGTATGCCAACGAGGGTTCGTGCTTCAAAGTTCAATCTATGAAACAGAAGAAACAATCTTTCTCTAACAATAAACCATTTTATTAATTCCTGCAAATCATTCAAAAATTCCCAAAATGTAATATTATAAGCTCTCTCCAAGAATAAATTGAGCTAGATTAATTTGTTCAATTTGGATTCAATAACCCATTTCATATGTCAATTTCTAAGCTCATATTATCAAAGTAATCATCTTTATCAAGATTTTATACAAAGAAGGAATGAAACAACAAGAACTATAGTGTATGATTTACCCAAAATTGAATTCTTGCAGATTGGATTATTAATAAAAAAAAAAATAAATAAATAAAGGAAGAACAAGATAGAATTTTGAAGAAATTACCATCCATTTCAACGATTGGATTGGTGACTTTGATCTTCTGGGAAGCCATTGTTTTTCTCTGTTGATCGTTCGTTCTCTTTCTCTTTCTCTTTCTCTTTGTTTGTCTGACTGAAATTAATCAGTTGAGAGTCAACAGTCAACAACTCCTTAATTAGCTACATAATAAATCTAAACCCCATTTGGGTGGGATACACAGCCATTTTTCTCCATCCTGGATATTAAAATGTGTCATTGGGTTGGCACAGAGAGAATACAAGTTTATCTTTGTGATTATTAGAGGACAAAAGCATAATTTTTTGTAATTTTGCCTAAAAAATGTTAAAATCGCTATTTGATGTAAACAAATTTTGTTTATCATGGAGATTAATTGGGGCATCGCCGGCCATCGGTTGGCACAACGGCATGATTGTTTGGATTTTAAGTCTTAATTGATTTGACTTGGCTTGTGTAGATTTTTTTTTTTTTTTTTTTGAAACCATATACTGCGTATTTCTTTTAGAGTGATTTCTCAAAATAATGTAATAATATAAGCTAATTCCTTATATACATTGGTTTAAACATTATTTTCTACAATACCGTCTACGCAGGCTCGGTTTCAAAGTTCGATAATTGCAAGTGCATTGTTGGCGGTTTTAACTAATATAGAACCTATGTTTTAATTACCATCCATCTAATTTGGTTTTAATTGCGGTTTTACCATTAGTGATATTATATAAACTACCAGAAGTGCAAGCTAAAGTAAACGAGGTAAGCTTCAACTTAGGGCCTGTTCACATTTACTGAACTGAGCTGAACTGAACTGAACTGAACTGAACTGAACTGATTGGAGCTGAACTGAACTGAACTTAACTGAATTGAGCTGAAATGAATATTTTATGAGAGAGAGAAATTAGAAGCTGAACTGAACTGATTGGAGCTGAACTGAACTGAACTGAATTGAACTGAAATTAAGTAAATGTGAATAGGCCCTTAGAACTGCTTATGGTATTAGAGGTTCTGTATAAGCGGTTTTATATTGCAAAATTTCAATCCTAAGAGCCAATCCTACATGGACAATATTGCGAGAAATAATTTCTAAACCAAATTATATAAGGAATAAATTAGTAGTTTAGCATTATTTAGGAAAATCGCTCTTTTATTTTATTTAAAACTATCATTATAATTTGGAATCGCATAACTTTTTGGATTAAAGTCTCATATTATTATTTTTTGAATCAATTGAAATCTCATATTAATTGACTTGTTTTGTTTATATTTATTTTATGATTTAAAATTATCATAGTTTGATCCTGTTTCCATAATCTATTACTCCCGTATATTATACAAGGGTGATATTTGTTTAAAATTTTCTCAAAAAAAAAAATGAATATTCACTGTAAAATAATTTTGTCTAAAAAATTATTGGATATTTTATGTCAAATTATTTATGGAACAAAATCTTTTACTAATGTAATTTTGCTAGTTTTAATTTCACACCTTAACATTTATTATATATATTTTAACCTAGTCTTGTACCACGTAGTAAGCAGTTTTTCTTTTAAAGTAGTCATTATTGCCATTATACGTAGATGTAGTATACGACCCTTAATTTGAATGAACAAAATTCATTTAAAAAAAAAATATTTTTTAGAGTAGCAAAATAAAATAAAATTACAATGATATGGAGCTAAGGTAATAATAATAGATCCTAATCTTTCCCCTTATTAATTGTGATCCACTAGATGTATGACTTTTTTTTACAATATATTTATCGTTATTTTCATGACAAAGTTGCTACTTAACATATGTCATATGTGCGATAATTTATTAATTTATTCTATATCAAAGTGATAAGCGGAGACTTTCGTGATAGGTCATAGACACATAGTCGGTTAGGTAGAATGTTGATTTGCAAATTCTTTGGATATATAGAGAATTAAAAGTCAGCAACTTGCAGAAGAGTTTTCTAATGAAATATGGAAATTAATATGGAAATTGGGTATTTCATCAATTAACACACCACCACAAACAAAGTTTTTTAAAAATCGGAAAACAAGAAAGAAAGAAAAAGAACCGGCCAAATTGAACCCACACTCCCACGGTTCCTTTAAGATGACGTGATTATGTAAAAGTATGATTCTAAATTTCCCAAAAATATTGACTTTCCCACAATTTTTTTAATGAATAAAATCTAATGTATAGTTTTTCATGAATATACAATTAATACAAATATACTTTCTTTATTCTCCATTAGAATATGTTTGAGCTTGACCAATCCTGTTGATCACCATTTTCGGCCAATTAAATTTCTTCTATCCCAAGCAAATTTACTCTGTCAAACATACTCTGCAAAACTGCATTTCTCCCATTATTTTTTATCAATTTTAAACGCGTTTGATTTTATTATCAAATCCTAAACTATTTAAAACCTCATTATTCTATCTTTCATACAATTTGTATTCAATTTAAACCCCTTTTAAATTCCGATTTTCCCAAATTTTCTGATACCCAAAATTTCAAATACTCAATTTTACAAAACCCAAATCCCCAAATTCCCAAATTTTGAGATACCCAAATTCGTAAAGATGAAATCTTTGATGAAATTTCTTGTGTTTTCTCTGCTTTTTTCTCTGTCTCTTTGTTTCCAAGAATCATCTAACAGTCATCAACTCCCAAGAAACATGATTCTGGAATACCCAGATGATGGAGGAAAAGCAGACCAGGAAGAAGTGAATTTACAGTGTACAAGTTGGAGGTTTGCAGTGGAGGCTAATAACTTGAATTCATGGAAAACAATCCCACAAGAATGTGCTGATTATGTCAAAAATTATATGATGGGTAAAGGTTATTTATTGGATCTTGAAAGGGTTTCTAATGAAGCTGCTGTTTTTGCTAGAAGTGTGAATGTTGAAGAAGATAGCAAAGATGCTTGGATTTTTGATATTGATGAAACTTTGCTCTCTAATCTTCCCTATTATACTGATCATGGTTATGGGTAAGTCCTTTTTATGTTAATTATTTTGATATTATATTGTTTAGGATATTAATGTTTCATGAGTCATTGTCCTAATTGATGTGCCTTATGGAAATTGAAAGGTCTCAAAATTGTGTGTTTATGGATACTAATGTTTCATTGAGTCATTGAGTTTAGCTTCATTGTTTGGAGTCATTGTCCTAAATGATGTTCCTTATGGGAATTGAAAGGTCTCGAAATCGTGTGTTTATGGATGTTAATGTTTCATTGAGTTTAGCTTTATTTTTAGGAGTCATTGTCCCAACTGATTGTGCCTTATGGGAATTGAATGGTCTCAAAATTGTGCGTTTATATTAATATATCATTTGAGTTTAGCTTCATTGTTAGGAGTCATTGTCCTAATTGATGTGCCTTATAGTGAATTGAATGGTCTCAAATTCGTGTGTTTCGATGAATTGTTTCGATTTTGTTTTGTGTTATAATGCTGTATGTTGATGGTGGTATTGATGGATATATGATACGTGCAATGGTTTGTGAAAAATTGTAGTTTGGAGGTGTTTGATGGAGTGGAGTTTGATAAGTGGGTTGGCAAGGGAATGGCTCCAGCTATTGAACCCAGCTTGAGGCTCTATGAGGAGGTTTTAAGTCTGGGATTCAAGGTTTTCCTGCTGACTGGACGTAGCGAAAAGATGAGGGATGTTACTGCTCAGAATTTGATGAATGTAGGTTATAAGAACTGGGACAAGCTTATATTGAGGTAAGAATTTGATCACTATTCATTCTCATACTACTTTATGATTATTTTTAAAATGGGGTGAGAATTTGGCTGTCACATATCAATACATGTAGCTGTCTTTACTTTCTGCTATCTGTTTTTGGGTTAACTTCCAAGTTATTCTGGACAATGATGTATCATCAAAATTTATTTAGTTGACTCGTTTATTGACTATGCTATAATCAATCTACAGAATGAGATTGTGTAGGCCAAAACTAGCTTATCAGGTGTTTCTGATCCTTATTTGTTACAGTTGCTAAGTTAGCCTTATGAGGGATTGCTTTTATGTTATTGTTCTGAGGGTCATGTTTTTTACATTTAGCTGCTGCAGATCAATGTGCACAGTATGCTCTGACTTATCTTGTAGAAGATGATATGTGAAACACAGGAATTTTACAAAGAAATTTATCAAGAGGGTAGTATGATTTGGGTGTTTTGTTTCACTTATCAAAATGCTTGCTTGAGATTGAGCTTTCAACCTAGACTTTACCTAACGTCCTTGTTATTCTGATGTCTAGAATGATGAATTTTGAGGTTCTTATGTTGAATTCAACGTTGATGGACTGAGGATAGATTGGGAATATGAGAACTAGCAAATTTCCACTTCCTTCCTATGCTTGCAAGATTCAATAGAATACGTAACCATTAGGCCAACCATTATGATGTCTAATATGTGAAATACAATGCCGTATCACTGCCTGATCCCCACTTAGCAAATAACCTGAGTAGTTATCATTGGTAGAGTGTATACTTACCCTAGAAAAAGTTTATCTGGCCTAAGTCCCTAATCATCTGAATTCTGAGAGGCATTAGTAAGCATTGTTTATCTACCCTAGAATACCAAGTCCTTCTGCCCTAAACCCCTATATACTTTTGTAAAGATAGAGTTTGATTTGGTTTTGAGGCACATATTTATAAGTTAAATACGGGATTGGGACACCCTAATCCTAATATGATGTAAAAGTTAGATGACCGTTGGAGTCAATTTCTGACAGCGCCTGCATCTTGGATTTCTTTGTTTCCTGCTAAATGCTGCTAATATCCTGTTCAGTTGATTACTCGGTATTTGGTATTACATTAATTTGAGGGGCTAATATGAGTATATTATTAGAACATTGTGGTGCAGTGATGCACTTGGTTAATTTTCCATATCACAAGCTTTCGTAATTAAGGATATGAATCACTTAATTAATCAAACATTGTAATGTAATATGATTAGAACCCTGTTTTGGAGGAAGTGGGGATTAAGGGCCGAGAAGTTTATGAACAAAAAAAAAAAAAAAATTGAACTCCAATAGGGTCTAGGTAAGGGAGAGAAGTTGTTCCACTATACGTAATCAGCTAAGCAGGTTTGATACACTGCTCTCAGCTGCCTTCCCTGATTTGGAAACACAAGCATATATCGTAGCATTAATATCTGAAGTATTAATGCTGCTGGTTGATCATAAATCTGTCCTTATGTTTCTCTGTTTAGCTCAGCATGTTTTCTTTTTCGTTATCTTCTGAACATCAAGCTCTTCGATAACACACAAAAACCTTCATTTTCCTTGCAAAATGCTTGGACTTAAATTATCCCTTGCTTTTAAAAGTGCAGAAATTATGTTCTGATCTTTTGGTTCATGCTTGTTTGAACACTGATTTCTTTGTATAACATCCCAGGGACACGGAAGACCATGGAAAATTAGCAACGATATTCAAATCAGAGAAGAGGAGTGAGATGATGAAGGAGGGATTCAGGATCCAAGGCAACTCCGGGGATCAGTGGAGTGATCTGTTGGGTTTTCCAATGTCCACTCGTTCGTTCAAGCTCCCTAATCCTATGTATTACATTCCCTAGTGAAAGACCAAATTTATAATTATAAGTAAAACTTTAATAATGAAAATACTAGTCTAAATATTGGAGTACAACAATTGTACATTGTATAGAAATTAATGGATTGAATAGTAAGGACCTCTTATATAACTAGAGGTGCATTCTGTATATTGTGTTAGACTGTTAGCTGATTTGGTGAAATAACAGAAAATATCAAAACAATTGACTTCCATCAATCAGGTGTACTTCTTTACCTTGATGAACAAATGGTCTTAGTGAGAGGGATAAAGATCTTATTGATCATTTTATGATTATGTTTTATCTTAGTGATAATTTCTTAGACGAGGTAATAATAGAGAGAAATGTTGTCTGTAGGTCATAAAAAGAGATGTCCGTTGAATGATACGGAGTAATTTTTTATATACAAGTTACTGAGTTTCTAAAGTGTGTCCATGTTTTTTCAAAATTACAATTTGTGCCCTCCAACTTAAATTGTTTATCCAACAAAATATCTGTAAATCAATAATTAGTAAATACAAACCGCTACTTCAAGTAGCGGTTTCTAATATGTAAACCGCTACTTAAAGTAGCGGTTTTCAGTAGCACACCGCTACTTGAAGTAGCGGTTTTCTAATAAACCCGTTTTTTTTTGTTAAATTCCCACTGAACCGGTGACGTGGACGGTATGGTGGTAATTAAAAAAAGTCTAGCTGTAATTTGGGAATTAGATAATTTCCCAACATTATTAAGGGAAAGGAAAATAAAAAAAAAGTTGCTTTAGAAGGACAAAAGAAGCTTTTAATAGTGAATGCTGACTGGCATTTACTCATACACATCCAGTCAAAAATAATTAAATGCTAGCCTAGGACCATTTGGTCATTTACCAACTAAATTAATTTAGTCAGAAAAAACAAAAACGATGATTTTTTATGGGTAGATTTTGTCAAAAAGTTGACCAGATTCATGTTTATATCATTATATAATTTTGTTGAATCTAAGACAGACTGTAAGAATTACTACAATTCTCTATTTTATGTACTGCTAGGTTTTGTATTCATCACTAGAGACCAAAATCTGAAAACTAATTTACTTAAAAACAATGTAACCACCATTAAGTTGACAATTTCTTTAATTATGTTTAGTTCAATAGAATAACAAAGTCAGGAATAGATAACAACATTTCACCTACATCAGAGGATATCAGCCTCTCAAATTATTTGCATTGCCAGCCAAAGTATAGATTTCACCGAATTAGTTGGAGTTATCGTCCTTTCAAATGAGATCGAGATCCTAACTAATAATTGGACGGACCTATTAGTAATGTTGAAGACGAACATAACAATTTGTCGTCGAGTGGAATGAGAGATTCAAATGATCAGCATAGATTTAAACTACTACAGAGTAACACTTTACAACATAGTTCGAGTTTCCTGTGCTTTTGTTGTACAAGAATTTACTTCATTGCTCGAATTTGGATAGTTCGAGTTGAGTATAAATATCTACATCCCACAAAAAATACTATGCAGGCTTTGCCTCACCACCCCTAAAAAATGAATAGAGCAAAAATCATTCTGTTAAACATCATCATTAGCAAGATCTTGTTAAGCTTTCCTTTAGCCAAATTCTTGGGTAATCTCCAGACAAGAAGATCATCATGAGGGCCCCAATAAAATCCAGCATCCCATGTTTCCCTGATACTAGGCAATTAAATAAATCTTGGAAATTCCAGCAGCCTGAGAACAATTCCAATGGATTTCTTTGCCATCTGACTCAAACCTTCAACTTTGTTAAGATTGTGGGCACATCAGATTCATCAAAAGTTTGAAACTTTCCCTACAACAAGATCTTTGTTGTCCCTGTCCCGGCGTGCCCTGATTTTTATGACAATGAAAAAAATTGCCATAATATGATGTTAATCATTCATCAATCATTAGTGAACAAATGCCTGTGTTAAGTTCTTTTGTGTTGTAAAGCTGGTTCCTTCCCAATTTCCTCGATTTTCCTTAGGACTTCATTTGCTGGTGGTCTAAGAGAAGGCGATGCTGAACAGCAAGACATTGCAAGCTGAACTAACTTCAGGGCACGATCTTCTGTCCTGTGCCTTTGTTTTCCTGTTTGATTAGATACAATGTTGGGATGATACATGTCCTTGATCCGATGGTCCAAAATTGCAGTTCGGATGACATTAGGCAAGAAAAATTCCTGAGAGTCTGACGAGTTTACACTAATAGGCTCTCTGCCAGTAAGCAATTCTAGCAAGAGTATTCCAAGACTGTATATATCAGTACTTTCACTAACATCCTTCATTTTCATAAGCTCAGGCGCCTTATAGCCCTGAGCTGCAGAAGTCTCGAGCATTTCTAGTCCTGCTGTTGGGTTCAATACCAGATATAGACTGTAATCTGATATACATGGCTGAAAATCTGGCCCCAACAATACGTTTTTAGACTTGAGATTTCCATGTAGTAGGGGTTTGTGAAATCCCGTGTGAAGATAAGCCACTCCCTTTGCTAAACCGAGGACAATGCTATAAATCACATCCCATTTGTAGGACTCATTGTTGCTATCTGTTCATAAAAACACAGATACTTAAAATGCATGCTTTTGGAATATTGGAGTTAAAAGTTTTAGAACTTTGAACAACTCAACAACCCAAAAGTAACTAAATATTATGCATTAGGAATCAGGACAGGCAGCATGTAAACTGCAAAGAAGGCAACTAATTATCTATAGTGAGGGCAGAATATGAAGACGGGTCGGTTCAGCATGTGAATCCCTTTTTTGCTTCAAATATCAAACAAAATTTAGTAGAAGTCATAATTTATTAGAATACTAAATGTCAACAACAGAAAAGATGGGCTACGAAAAAGTTGTTAGCTTTGACCTAGTGTTTAATAAAGAATTACATCCCCACAACTAAGTTGAGCCGTCCTGAGACGGATGGTTCTTTAATGCATAAATTACTCAATAAAATGAGGATCAGAAACTTCGACACAAAGTTTAGGATAAAGTGGAAGACCAGTACAGAAATGATTGGGTTCAAAAGAATAGGTCCGGTTGACCTACCAAGCCAGATAACCTGCTGATCATAAATCACAGATTCATGGGCAAGGAATCGTTCAATGGAATGAAAACAAGGTAATTTGTTCAATAAGAGAGAAGGCCAAAAACACCCAAAAGGACCCCAGATTCTAAAACTTGACAAATCTGATTTTGACAGTAGCAGAGTTAGCTGGACTGAAAGAACATATTCAACAAAATATCAACATTAATGACATGAAGTGAATTAATGAGATGATTAGGACAAGTGACTAACAGCAAACCAGCAAGTAGTATATTTATCTTCGATTCACGGTGTAATTGTGTATAGATTAACAACAGAAGAAGAATCTTATGCTTTTTTGAATAGCTTAACCTTACAGCCAAATCTCAGAAGCAAAGTACTAAAACCAACATTGAAATAAGCATGGTTTATGACCAAGAAAAGAATAAAACAGCAAGGAATTCAAGCATTACAAAGATTCACTAATAAAGTCCCTTTTTTATATCACCAAAGGAAAATTATTCCTTTGTATGGGAAAATTTTGAGGAAAATGTGCCCGGATTTAATTAAAAAATGTTTGCCAATTTCTGAACAGACCATAATCTGCTGCATAAGGAAACCCACATAAATCAAAAGAATACAGGATCCATAGGATCAAATTCCGTCTACATCATTACTCTTTGTGCCTCTCTAAGCACCAAAAAAAACATTTTCAACAATTTGCCAATCAAACAAGATGATTAAAACAATCAACTTCAGCAACAAACATGTTTCAAACAAAAACCCAGCTCAAATTCAATTTTTAAGAACAAAATTAACAAGCAAGAACACTCTTCAGCAGAGAAATCCAGCTCAATCAAACTCCCAACCATACAAGAAAATTAAAAAGAACCCACTTCATTAAAAGCAACAAACAACAAATTAAGCCAAAACCCAGCTGAAATTGAAGTAGAAAATTGCAAAATTAAAGAAGAAAGAATCAAGAAAAATTACCTTTAATAAACTGAGCAAGATTTCCATGAACATAAAATGGATGAACCAAAAGCTTCTCACCTCTGGGACCCATATAAAAAGCCTTAAGAGGGACCAAATTAGAATGCCTGACCAAACCAATTGCATGCACTACAGGAATTACTTCTCTAATGGACCCACTACAAGCAGGTCTCAAAAATCTAAGCAACAAAACTGAATTACAATTATTATTTTTCCTAAATAAATCAGCTTTGTACAATGTACCATAGCTTGATTTTCCAATCACTTCACCAGGTGCATCTAAAATGTCAGAAACAGCTAGATCTTCACCCCCTTCAAAGCACATCAACTGTTCATCATTACTAATACTGTTAATTATGTTTCCTAATTCTGGGTCATTATCTGATTCACCACCTTCTTTCTGATTTTCTGGGTTTTTTCTCTTGAACAAGCAGATAAAGAGTATGAAGATGATGATTATAGATAATGGGATTATTAGAAATAAGAATTTGAGAATTTGGGTGTGTTTCATTTTTTTTTTTTTTAGGAGAGAGAAAAAAGGTGAGGTGTTGAAGAATGAGAATGCAAATGCAAAATCACATTTTGTTAAAGAATGTGGAAGTGTGGGGTGAGTTTAAAGAGTAGGCCATAAAAGGTAGAAAAGGGTGTTATGATCTGGGAATTCTGTATTGATTATGATAGCCTTGAATTGATAGGGGAAGTAGGGACATTTTTTCTTGTTGCCATGGTTTGGATTTTATATGCCACTACTAGTACTTGAACAAATATTTATTACCATTTAAACTTATTTTTGAGATTGATTTATTGCTTTATTTTAACTCTTTTCTTTGATGAGTTTGTGTTGTCAGAAAATTAATCAAATAAACTCTTGCCTGCCATATCCATTATCATAATGGCTTAATTCTCACTAAAAGAATGTTTCTTTTAAGTAATAAGATTGGAACTGAAATCTAGGATCGAATCCCGTCTATGTTATTGTTTTGTGTTAATAGCCTCGTTCTTAAATACATGGAATTAAATTCAGTCAATATTTTTGTTCTATATTAATCAACTCGTTCTTAAATATGCTTTTTTTTTTTAAAAAAAAAAAGGTAGGTCTATATCAACTATTTTGGATGCAATAGGTACAAAAATGCACTCCACGTCCATTCTTCCAATAGTTCATAGTAGTGTTTTAGACTCTTAGATAAATGTCAACTTACAAAGTTACAAGTTGAGGACCAATTTCTTGGAAATGAATACTAGTTGAAACTTGAAAGTGTAGGTTGTTAAACATTCTTAGTTAAGTACGGATAGATGTAAAGTGTGCTCGTTGTATTAAGAGTGTATAGTGCTCATTGTGCAACAAAAGAACACAGTCGATTGTATATTACAAAAAAAAAAAGAAAAAAAAAAAGTTTTGTAATCTTTGTAAAAGAACATAAAATACTACGTATATTTTTATAATTATAAATAGAAATAAGTACATCCATATTCTTATATTACATTTTGATGTTCTTAAACACGAATTTGTGTTTTTAGAATGCACTCTCACTCTCTAGCTTATACCATCTAAATTGCGCTTACTTTTTTTTTTTTTTTGGCTAAAGTTAGACTCACTCTATACTATCTACTTTCTTATTATCGACTTCCTTTGATAATATTGTAAAAAAAAAAAGAAGGTAGAGTAATAAACTGAATGGGAGTGAATTATACATACGTGTATATTTTATTTTTAAAATTTGATAGACTATTGAATTTTCTTCCCCAAAATAATGTTTATTTCACATAAAAATATCCTTGTAATATTTTTGGCTTCTGGTCCATATATCCATTATCCATAATCTTATAAAATCTCAAATAAATAACCAAATCATGTTATTCACACCCCCACCCAACTTTGGCCATACTAGTACTTTCCGTCTCAGTTATGCACTCCTCTGTGATGACATCGTATTCCTATAGTTTCCCTTTCTTTTCTGAAAGGAACAACACCCCCTGCTTAACTGCCAAAATATTGCTTACCTCCATGCCCTCATACTAAGCTTTCAACCCGATTCTCACCGGAGTTCCAACATCGCTCCCATCACCACCACTAGTTGTTGCTGCTCTGCATCTTGTTCCAAGTTCGTGTTGTAATCATACTTCTCAATCGTTCCCTAGTGATAAGGGAGACGGATTTTCTCATATAAGATTCAAAGTCATTATACTCATCCATCATCACAAGATTTTTTCACCCGTATATATATTAACGATTTTACATGTTTAAAAATGAAAGCAGATTTTTCTTTATTACAGACTTGGTGTAAATTCTCACCATAAATTGGATAACACTGATCTCACAAAACACCAGTTGTGATATAACCAACAAAAGAACCTAATAACATCAGTGCTAAATAAAGCAAATAAGTTTATCCGAACAAATTGAACGAGAAATATGGAATATAAACTACAAAGCAATGGGGCATCTTTGTTGCAAAAGTGACGTCTTATAAAAGATCATGTACATAGATTAAAGTATATGGAACCATATAATTAAAGAAACCCTACATCATGATTAAGGAAAATAACTTCTATCAGTGTCAAAAAAAACACTACATATATGCTGTTAAAAACCTTTACTACAAAAATATGACAAATCCATTATGAATTCTAAATGTCGGAGCAACAAAACATTGTCTATAGTTCTAGCATCATAACTTCAACGCGCATGATTGTTCAACCCAAATTCTATGCCATTATTATTTTGTTGAATTGAGAAGAGGATTCTCTAGAGGGCTGAACTTGAAGTTTCCGGAGAATATGGCTTCTTTATCTGCAAGAGTAACCATAAAATTGTATCATAAGATCAACGGGGATTAATGGTTTGTTTGGATAAAGAAAAGGGAAGGAAAAGAAGGGGAGGGAGGAGAAGAGGAGGGGAGGGAAGAAGGATGAGTTTTCCTTCCAAATCTCTCCATTGTTGGAGGGATCAATTTCCTACAATTTAATCCTTCCATTTCTCTCCCCTCCAATTCCCTCCCTTCCTCATTTGCTATCCAAATGAAAGATACTCCATCTCTCCATTTCTCTTCCCTTCCTTTCCCTCCATTTCCTTCAATCCAAACACACCGTAAAGTTCGTATACTAAGAGTATCATAAGATCAACAGAGCTTATGATAGACATGGTGATACTTTTGACATTGCTACATCCTATAGAACATCCTTACTTAGGAAATTGTAGGCCTGAGTTTTGATAACTGGATCAAAACACCTATGAATAATCAACTAGAGAATGCAAGTTTTATTTTGTTCAGACAACCCAGGACAGAAAGCAACTACTTAAGGACAAAACAATCATTGGATTTAAAAGAACAAGAGCATCTCAATCTATCAGCAGTAACACCTTCCTAAGTACCTAGCACACGCTAATATAAAGTATTCCGGCTCATCAAGGATCATGCAATACCCTTAAGAGCTTAGCACAAAGATGAAGCTATGATCTTCCTTCTCCTATACTATAGGGAATACACATAAGGCTGCCTGCTGCCTCATTATGCACAGTCGAGGTTAAAGCATTTATGTATATTGTGTATACAGTACCTTTCACCATATTTATTTGTTGAAGAAATAGAAAAAGGTGCTTCAAGGTGAATGTAAATAGAAACTCAGACTAATTGAGATAATACAAGTCACTTACCAGTCAGGGAGAGGCAACTAACTTCACGACGAACATACCGAGCCATTGCCTGCAAAGATTGAAAAACCCAAAAAAAGAGTATAAGAATGACTGAATGAGCCATATACACTGAGAAATATATACCATCAATTGTAGGACTTTGTGTTGTGGGTTTTAGAGAAAGGCAAAATGCTCACTTCCATTTTATCAGTAACATTTTACAAATTAATGTCATCAAGTCTACTCTTCAATAAGAGAATGAGAATGCACCTGAACAGGACGTCTAGCAGCATCACTTGGTTCTGACTCACCATCATCGGAAAACACATTCCTGCACCGTAAAGAAGTTCAAGTATACATACAGAATCAGAGAACTTTGTATCAATAGCAAAGACTTTTTAAGAGTAGTTGGTCTTATATACTCAATTTTTCAGAAATTTTACTTCATGAAACAAATTAATACAGTGAATCTGTGAATGGAGTAAATATTTGCTTAAGAATGGGGCCTCGACACTTCAACATGGGTATGGATGCTTGACACATCATTTTAAACCAAAGTCATAGAAATTTTTATAAATAGTTGAGCTGAAACTGGCATTTGACAATACGTGATTTGTGTAACATCACAGCAACAACATTAGGACAACTTCTGAATAATGCCAAGATTTCAAACCAACATTAGACAGAAGAGGAAGAATGAAATTACATGGTATTAAAGCTTCTACCTGAAAGAGATATAAATAAGAGTACTAGGTATAGAGATCTGGAAAAAATAAGGATTAAACGAAATCAAGTGGATAAGAGAGCCAAACACAAAGACTTGGTTAACAGTCAAAGATTTAAGCCCACTCATAAATAGCTACTTCCCATAAGTTGCCTTTTATCTCCTCAAAAACATCCTCTGGTCTTACAATTATTAAATTTTTGTCCCTCTTTACTTCTAATTTCTGTAGCTATTCCATATAGGGAAGAGATGAATAAAACTTAATGAAGTTCAACTAGTATAATGCCCTTGAGTGAACAATGAGGAGGCAAGATATTATTTCACTCATTACAGCTCATCTAGATTATGTACTTTCAAACTTCAAACACCCTTAGTACTCTCATTAGCCTCACCAATTTTCATCCTATTATAACGTTCATATAACTTGAATTCCTACCCATCCCTACATTAGCACCATTTCCTCATATTGATTACAAGGTCTTAATCCTACTGATATATGTGATTTATATTTACTGAACGGTACACCAACAGTCAAGCACAAGTAACTCGATAAGAAAACCCTTGCTTTTGGAAGTCAAAATGATACAATGCGATCAGTGTCACAACACACAAGACAATTGATTCCCAACGTTGAGAAGTTCCAGATCATCTTTTTCTGATACTATGTAAATGGAAGAATTCAGTGACAAATTTCAGGTGTTTATTCATTCAGCTTAGGGCCCCACACAAGAAACTTAAAAAAAGTAGACCACAACTCTATTGTAAGTGAGCTCCAAACTTAGGCCAATACCTCCATATGACATTCGAAAGATCATCTTTTCCAGCTTCGGAAAGTAAGGCAGCATCATATGCAACAAGGTTTCCATAGAATATCTTCTCCAAATCCTTCATCCACTTAGTCAATAGCAAGTTAACCTGACAATGCAGTAATATAAAGGAAAGAATTAAGCATCAATTAAATAAATAAGTACTTATATAAGAACATGATGACCTAAGCAAAATAATAAACAAATACCAGGAGGGATGTTATAATCTTGTTTACATAGTATCAACAGAGCCTTATTTACTTATTAAAAGATGAAAAGAAAAGAGTAACTAAGGCCTTGTTAATAGAGGTAGAGAGAGTCTTAAGGCTGGTTGTACAAGGAAAAGAACCTCCAACATTCATAAGATAATAAGATAGCTTTATCACCCTCTGTTTTCTTTAGTTCTTCCTATTAGAAAAAAGGACGAAGAATCAATGAAAACATTAAAGAATGGTAAGATTCCCACTTCGTAATAAAACGAAATTTTAAAAAAAAATCCAACAAAATAAGGCTTCATGAGATACTTTTCCATCAAGGCTTCTCATTATTATAACCCATGCATGCATCAAAAATACAATGATAATGAATGGGTGAATTTGGGCTTAATAACCCTAGGATTCTGTCAACTTAGATGTCAAGTTCGTGATTGGAACTACCTCTTATAGCTCTTCACAATCAAATCCAACAACAAATTCCAAAATAGTTATGTAATTAAACTAACCTCATTCTCAAGGCTATATAGACCTATTGGCAGGCCATTTATGGTTCCAAACCAACTTTTATGACCCAAGGGATGTCCCCCACAATTACTTCAATTTTGAAAAAAATTCCCAAAATTGAACCGAAAACGTGGGTTATTGCCTATTTAATTTTGGAAAATTTTCGATTTTTCCTTCCCTAAAAATGAAAGAGGTCGAAAACTTCCCACAAACCCCAAGAGACATCGTGAAGCCATTTGGCTGCTTGGAACCATCTATTAATCAATTATGTTTTTAAACAATCAATTTAGCCGATTACGTACACGCCTCCCTTCATTAACTCAAAGTCACAAACAACCTTAATGTGATTGACTGGTGACCATATTTGGTTTCAAACAACATTACATGACCCCAAAATGCTTCTCCTACCATCACTTTCGACACCAAGTCCCAAATTTCCGAACATGGCCCAATTTTGTTTAAGCCTTCAAATTTAACCTTTAGGGATTATTTTTGGATCTAACAATGTTATCCATTAAGGTGCTTTTGGCGGTTCTCAAAAGGCCTTGGGAAGCCTAGTTAATGCATGAAATCATCTAATTCATGTCTTAGCTCACTCGTCATTATCATTTCTTAAGATGC